TAATAATAATAATAATAATAATAATAATAATAATAATAATAATAATACAAAAACAACTGGAGCACCACTTGAACACCATTGGCATTGACAAATTTGCCATCAGTCAATTGCAGAAGGCAGCTTTACTTGGAACTGCTTCCATCCTGCAACTATCCGTAACACTGTCAAACATCCAGATTTGCCTATCCCAGGTCCTTAGGAAGGACTTGATAGGTAGACAAAAATGCCAAACCCAGTCTGAACATCTGGCTGAGTGTGTGATGATCAATAAAAATAGTAATAATAGTGACTGTGGCAAAAGTAGTACCAATAGTAATAGGCGCCTTCAGTGCAATTCCAAAACAACTGGGGCACCACTTGAACACTATCAACAATGACAAAATCACCATCATCAATAGCAAAAGACATCTTTGCTCAGAATAGCTTTTATCTGTAACATCATTAAACATCCACATCTGCCTCTCCTAGATCCATGGGAAGGACTCAACCAGTGGATGAAAAATGTCCAATCTAATCTAAACCTCTGGCTGACTGTGGAATATAATAATAAATATCATCATCATAATAAATAAATAAATAAATAAATATCATCATAATAAAATATTATTAATAAAACCATTCTTTAAGGGCTGTACAGGTAAATCCTCAACTTACGGCCACAATTGAGCCCAAAATGTCCATTGCCAAGCAAGACAGTTAAAGTGAGTTTTACTCCCATTTTATGACCTTTCTTTCCACAGTTGTTAAATGAGTCACCTCAGTTGTTAAGTTAGTAACATGGTTATCAAGTGAATCTTGCTTGTCAGAAGGTTGTAAAAGGTGATCACACGACCCCTGGATATCACAACTATCGTAAATACATGCCAGTTACCAAGCACCTCAATTTTGATCACGTGACCATAGGGAAGCTGCAACAGTCATAAGTGTGAAAAACAGTCATAAGGTCACTTTTTTCAGTGCCATTGTAACTTTGAATGGTCTCTACACAAATGGCTATAAGTCCAAAACTATCTGTATCTGCAGTGCCCCTCCAAGATAGGTATAGCAAGTATCTGTAAGTCTGTTCCCAATTATTAAGAAATACTGACTTCAGAAATCATTAAAAAATGCATACATTTCAGCAAATGAAGAAACATCTCTTCAAAGGTATCTGTTGCAAAAATGAAGAACTGGGACAGATTATCACTGGTTTCTGTTGCTATTCTCAGAATCATTACAGCAGGAAATTGTATCATTGTTGAACCTAAAAAGATAGAGACCTAAAGTATGGATTCCTGGTCATTTTCATTTAAAGACCAGTCGCTTAACAAATGGTCAAAGTTAAGACAGATTTTTTAAAAAGTTACTTATGACTCTAAGAGTTACAACTGCTGCATGCTCACTTCACGTCCCACCCTATGATCACATGATTTGGAGTACTTGACAACCAACTCACATTTACAACTGGTTACAATGTACAGTGTACATTGTACTGGTCACATGACTATGATTTGTGACCTTTTTGCCTGTTTCTGACAAAAAATGCCATTCAGGAGGATCGGTTTGCTTAATAACCAGGTGAGTTGCTTAATGACAATTTCCTTAACAACCAATGACTTGCTTTACAAGCATCATAAAAACGGTTCTAAAGGTGGTGACCAAAACGACTTACAATCAAAATTCCCCGCCCAGGTGGGGAGGCGGGGCTGGCATCGCGGCGGTACGACACACAATCTTGAAGCTCCAAGATCGCTGTCGATATCTTTGCTGCTGGACAGTCCTTTTGGACCTAAACTGTCCCGTAGAGACGGTGACAGAGAAGAGCACATCCTGTCGATCCAGGGGACACCGCAAAGTCCCTGGTAGATCCAAGAGAAGCTCTTTTTTCCAGCGGCAAAGAGGCGGCCATTGAAGCTGCTGAAGCTGGTGCAGCTCCGGACGGAAGAGAATAGAAGAGAAAGTGTGTTGGTTTGGTGAGATGATTTTCTTAAACTTTATTATTTGAGACAACACCCTAAGAAAGAAATTGTAAAAATTGAAGACAGAAGAGCCTAAGCGGCGATTTTAAACAGGAAGTCAAAATTAGTGGGTTTTTTATTATTCTATTGCTGGATTGTTTATGTATGCTTTTTAACTTTAAAACTGGACTGGGTTTTTTTCTTTTCCTTTTATCTTTTTTGCTTTTATAATATTTTATGTTAGGGATCCTTTTTTTACTTTTCCGTTAAGTTTCTAATTAATTTTTGCTTTTTAAAATACTTTTAAATCTTTTGTTTTGGATAAAGGTGGGGGGGAGTGAAAGTAGAGGAAAATAAGTAACACTGCCACCCAGAGGCTTGGAAACATTGTTTTCTTTCATTTTCTGAAGACTAGATAATGCTGAGAAAGAATTAAGGGTTTTCTTCAAGGACTTTGAGCCTGTTTGATAAGATAGAGGGAAGAGCATGGAAGAATGTTATTACAGGTGCTCTTCTGGATTACTATCAGTGGCTGGAGTCTGGTATTGAAAGAAAGTTTGGAATTGAAAGAAAGATTATAAGACTCTTGGGAAGAGAGTTATAAAATCTGTTTGGAACCTAACAAAAAAGCCTTGGACATTATACAGAAGCAGTGCGTTCTTCTTTTCTTTTCTTCTGATAGAAAGTTGGCTTTCTTGCTTTGTGTTTAGCCTCTACTTATACCCCCCCCCCCCCAAGCTACTTATTTTTGGTGGACTTCTGTAATTTTGGCTTTTTGGAAAGTTTCTTTTTTATTTTTCCTTTTTCTTTTTATTATTATTATTATTTTCTTTTTAAGGGAATAGATTTTTTCCCTCTCTTTTTCCTTTTTTCATCTCCTTTTTTATATTGGATTTATTTGTGGCTCTTTTTCTTTTCTTTTTATATTTGGGAGATTGTTTATGGTATTGTCTGGCCCATTCCACTCCGATTAATTGGATTAAGGTGTAGAAAAACCTGAAGAATTTTCTTTTTTATTTTGTTTTTCCTTTTTTATCTTTACTTGGAATTACATTTGTTCAATATACAAGTGGATTAAGGCGTAGAAGAACCTGAAGATTTTGTATTGTTTGAAATCTTATAATTATTGTGAAATGAGTAGGAAAAGAACAGTGGCTGGCTCTTCAATATCAAGCTCTTCCGCTTCACCATCTGGAGGACAATCAATAAAGACGATGTTGCAACAAGAAAAAGAACAGGAAAAAGTGATGTTGAAGATGATTATGCAAGGAATTCAAAACATACAAGCAAGAACAGAGAATATTGAAAAGAGAACAGAGAATAGAGAAAAGAACAGAGAATATTGAACAAAGAACAAGGAAAACAGATGAAAAGGTTGAGAACATCCACCAAATGATGATGAAATATAAGGACAGATTCCAAAAAATTGAAGAAGATAAACAAAGAGACAAGAAGATTGCAGATATTGACTGTAGACTAAGCGTGGTTGAACAAGATAAGAGTGGAATGTTGGGATGGGAGATCGACAGATCAGAATTTTATCTCAGATTTCAAAATATAGAGGGGGGGAAAAAGGGAAAACTTGGCAGAAATAATGACAGAAATTTTGGCTGAGGCATTGGAAATAAATAAAGAGAAGATGATGGATGGAATAGACAAGGTGTTTACAAGATATGCAATAAGAAATAAATTGCCAAGAGAAGTCCATATCAGATTTACGAAGAAAGCTACTAAAACGCAAATACTACAGACGGCAAGAGAGAAAACACTGAAACATAAAGACAAGGAGATTGTGGTCCTGAAACAATTACCCAGAAAAGTGAGAGAGATGAGAAAAGAGTATCAATTTTTGACAAAATACTACTTAAAAAGGCGTGAATTATAGATGGCTGATACCAGAAGGCCTCATGTTTACATGGCAAGATCAAAGACACAGAATTGATTGAATTGAGAAAGCAGAATTATTTTATGCAGGATATTTTAGAAGGAAAAAGGAGGAGACAGAAGGAGAAGTGTCATTAATTGAATTTCAGGAGGAATGTCAAGCAGCAACTGAAAAAGAAGAAGGTGCAGTAGGCGGAAATGTAGAAATTAGAGAACAACGAGAACCGAGATCTTACTAGGGCTGCAAAACCTACTTATAAAGTATAAACATGGAAGAGAAAAAATTGATTACAATCAACATAAATGGTCTCAATTCCGCTATTAAAAGAAGGAAAACATTTCATAAAACTAGAGAAATTAAAATATGACATAATCAGCCTACAAGAAGTACATATTAAAAAGCAACATGAACAAATATTGATACAGCCAAAGTTAGGGAAAATATTTACTACATTGACATGATGTAAGAAAAGAGGAGTGGTTTTATACATCAAAGATACAATTCCAGTGGAACTGATTTATACAGATGATGATGGAAGAATTTTGATGGTGGAAATAATGGACAATAATATGAAAATACTTTTGATAGCAATTTATGCTCCAAATGATAATCAAGAATTTTACATATGAAAATAATTGGACTATGTTAATATTTGCATGATGGGAGATTTCAATGGAATAGTAGATGATAAATTGGACTATAAAACACAGAAAACAATAAAGCAAAGTAGAAAAACTCTTCCAAAATCCTTTTTTAAAATGACAGATGAAATAAATTTAAAAGATGCATGGAGAGAAAGAAATGCTAAAACAAGACAATACACTTTTTATTCAAATAGACACTCATCATGGTCCAGAATAGATATGATATGGATGTCAACGGAATTGATTTCTAATGTACAGGAAAATGATATAGAAACAAGTACTTGGGCAGACCACAATCCAATGACAATCAAATGGAAAGGACAAAGAAGATCTAGATGGACTCTAAACAATACTATATTAAAAGAAAAAGACAGAAAGAATTGGCCTTTTTCTTCAAAGAAAACGAAAAAGAGGATACATCAATGCAGAATCTTTGGGACACAATGAAGGCTTATGCCAGAGGCCTGATAATAGACTACACAAGGAAAAGAAATATTATGAAAAGACAAGCCTCTAAAGCATTGGAGGATGATTACGAGAGACTTGAATAAGTTACAGAAACTGCCACAAAAAAAGGAATTAAATTAAAAATGGACACAATTAAACACAAAATGGGGCTAATGGAAAAGGAGGAACTAGCACAAAAAATTAGAGGTGCTAAACAGAACTATTTTGAAGATGCAAATAAACCAAGTAGATGGTTAGCATACAAATTGAGAAAGGAGAGAGAATCAAGAAAAATAATGCAATCAATAGATGATCAAGGGCAAGTTTGCTATGGAAATAAAGAGAAGAAAAAGATTATACAGGATTATTATGGAAAATTGTATGAACAAGAGAATATAGATGACGAGTTAAACAATACCTGCAGGAAGCGAATTTGCCCCAGATACCTAAAGAGACTAAAATGATGTTAGAAAACAATATAATGATGATGGAATTAACTAAAGCACTTAAAAAACAAAACAATGGAAAGGCACCAGGTCCGGATGGACTTCCAGCGGAATTTTACAAGACATTACATGAATCACTGAATCTTCCATTGTTAGAAGTTATGAATGAAGTCATGTTGAAGAAGAGAATACCAAAATCATGGTCAGAAGCATATATTACGCTTGTCCCAAAGGAGGACGCTGACCCACAGCAAATCAAGAACTATAGACCTATTTCCCTGCTAAATTCAGACTATAAAATCTTCACTTCAATATTGGCAGAAAGACTTAAAAGATATTTGAATAACTTTATTCACCCTGATCAAAATGGGTTTCTACCAAAGAGACAAATTAAAGATAACATGACAATAATTCTGGACACTTTGGAATACTATGAGGCACACCCTGAAAAACAAATGGCTTTGATATTTTTAGATGCACAGAAAGCCTTTGATAATGTGAATTGGCGATTTATGTTATTACAGCTGGAGCAAATGGGCTTTGGTAAGAAATTCATTCAAGCCATAGAAGCTATACATCATAAACCAACAGCAAAGGTAATGATAGATGGGGAATTGACAGATTTTATTGACATAAGGAAAGGGACAAGAAAAGGTTGCCCACTGTCACCTCTGTTGTTTGTGTTAACTTTAGAAGTGTTAAATAGAAATACCAGAGAAGAAAAAGATATGAAAGGAATGAAAGTTAAAAAGGAAGAATTTAAACTGCAAGCATTTGCAGATGATCTGATTTTTATTTTAGAGGATCCATTAGAAACAGCACTTAAATTGATAGAAAAGATAGAGGAATATGGAAAAGTAGCTGGTTTGAAAATAAATAAAGATAAAATGAAGATTTTGACAAAGAATATGTTAGTAAGACAAAAGGAAGAATTGGCGGATGTTTTGAAGATCCAGATCCCAAATAAGATTAAGTATTTGGGGATATACTTGACAGCAAGATGTAGTATACTTAAAGAGAATAACTA